CACTCTAGGAGGTCAAATTTTAAGTACCTCTGCCCTCCTGCGGAGCTCCGTCTTGAGGATGCACCCCAGGGTGAAGGTCGTGGCCCCAGCAACTGTGGCACACCATGACAGGATCCACAGTCCCTGGGCTAGCTTCACCCTTTTCTGAAAGGGGAACTTCATCTTCATTACCACCATGGTTGCAGCGGGGGAATCTTACCAGGTCTCACCGGGGGGTAGGGGAAGGAGAGCGACGAGGCCGCGGGGGACGATGCTGTGCTCTGGCTGTGAGAGAGGAGAAGAGATGAGAGGGAGGACTCCAAAGGCTTAAAGATGAAGATGGCAGAACTGAAACACACCTGTATAAACAGTGTGAGGACAGTTCAGACACAAAACAGTAGTTTTGTGAGAAACAAACAACCAAACTAAGAAGTAGAGAGGTTAGCAGAAGGTCCCTGGAAACTTCTGAGTTTTAGAGCTTTACATCACAAGTGGTGCATCTTCAATTAAACTGATGTTGGTGGGTCAAATTTTACTTTATTTTTTCCTAAAAGATTCTGAAAAAAAGTCCAGTTATCTCCAGCAACCACTGTGTACCGTCCAATGTGCCACACAGTGGATTTGGCACACTGGATTTGGTAAACCTGGATGCAGGGGGGCGTCTTACCACTAATACCTACCTATCCTATTAAACTGGTTTGTGGATCCAGGCCATTGTCTGCTCAGCATCTGTCACTCATACAGAGGGACATGGATGACAAGCCAAATTGAAATTGACAGGGAGGTATTATTAATACACAAGTCATTATCTGTGTAATGCAGACACTTGGGACACATCTACTGGAAAAAATTACAAAGTACAAGAAAATTACATGAGATTTAAAAAAATATTTAGACAAATAGGTCTAAATATTTATTTCCATTTTCAATTTGCCATTATGTAGAAGTCTACAGGTTGAGAAACAGTCAAAGTCCTCTATTGGACCCAGAGTCACTGGCTCTCAACTCTGTGTAGTAATATATGAGGGGAAGAGTAGCCAACTCTCATTACTGCCTGACTAATACTCTGAATCCAAGTAGCATGGTCCCAAGGTGGCAAACATTCTCACCTCCTCATCCATACTGGTACCAATTTTCCATTAATATTTCTGGTCAATATGGTCTCTTTCATTTGCTCTGACTTTGCAGAACTCCTCTTATATGTAAGCAAACAAATCTACAATGAATATTTGTCTCCACCTTCTTAATCAGAACATGTATACAGTGAGATGATGATTTATTACAGTTCACAAAAGGCATCTGAAAGTGTATCACTACTGTTGTACTAATTTTGGTATCAATCCAGGATCAAGTAAATACAGGGTAAGTATTGACATTTTTGCTTTCCACAATTATTAGTCAGTGCAACAAAACACACCCTTCAGCTTTTCTTGTATTTTGAAACTGGAATTTTTGGAGACCTGGAATGTAAACGTGCTTTTCTTTAAAATGTGATATAGGCCATAAATAAAATAGATGTGACAGCAATGCTATAAGTTTCAGACGTTTTTC